ACAGACAGACAGACAGACAGACAGACAGACAGACAGACAGACAGACAGACAGACACCTACCTCTTTGGATGAAACCAGGAAGTCTTCAGTCTGAAAAAAGAGAAAAGAAATTTAAGAATACAAAAAGGTATCGAAAGAGACAGAGGATTTGACAGAGTCAGCAATAATCCGAGAGGACGAGTATGATGAAAAGGTAGAAGTAACGAGTCTTTTCCTTTTGTAGTAAATGTCCCGTGGAGAGGACAGAGGTTCGTCAAAGACAACGACTATGCTGTGGTGTTGCTCTATGACGTCAACGGCTACATCGCGGGCATCCAGACCTCGGTGAGGGAACTTGTGTTGTTGTTGCTTGTCATGTTTTTGCACTACTTTGGGGTCAAACAGTGTGTCTAGAACTATATTTTCTCGTGGAGTAACACTCAGGAAGTGAGTTAATCAGTACCGCTTTTCCAAGTTGCAACTTGATAATCTTATTTACCTTTTACAATCCAATATGCCCAATGAGACAGGATGAGAGTGAGATGTTACTCAATCTGATGTTACTAGTTGGATTTGTATGCATGGGAGAGTTTGGGCATTTTTTTGTTTTTTATAATTTCAGTTGTAATAAAACTAATAAATGGAAGACACACTGTTTGACTGAGGTCTTTTGTGACTACAGTTGTTCTGTGGCGTCGGTGGACCCATTTACAATTACGGGTTCAGGGGTTCAAGCCTCACCTGGGTCCGACGTGCTGTCCTTGGGAAAGGCACTGTACTCCCATTTGGGGGTTGGTCCTTTCGGAGATGGACATTAAACCCAAAGGCCCTACCTATTAAATATCAAAAACAATGTTGATAGGGGCGTTAAACCTACACTATTTCAACATTTTTTTCACAGCTGTGGTGTGCGATTGTGAGGAAATGAAACTTCATCGACATTTTGAAGCATTCAGACGCTATTTATTAATGCTATGATATTATTATTATAATCTCGAGAGTGAATCCTTATTTTTCTTCTTATCTGCGGCTATTGGTTACCAAAACTTCATACTTAGTATTACTCACCTGAAAGGTTACGTGACCAAAATTGAGTCGATAGTGCCGTAAAACACCCGCTCAATCAATCAATCACCTGAAAGGAAAAGTGTAGACTGAATAGACTAGAATTCAAACACAATCAAAAAGTGGTATCTTTTTTTTCAACGCCAGTATAACGGTAAGTTCAAGTCGCTGTTTCCCGGTTGCTGTTTCCCGGTTGCTGTTTCCCCGTTGTAACAGTGATTTTGGCTTATTACACCGGTAACGACATCGCCAAAGCCGCTTTACCTAGCGCTCCCAGTTTTAGATCTATTTGTCAGCCAGCAACTTTGCCGGCGAATTTTTTGTATCAAACTTGCTTATACTGAAAAATCAATCACCACCAAGTGCCAGATCTACGACAGACATCGGCGATCATAGTTCTCTATACAGTCCTTTGCTTAGATGCTTTAAAAAATAAAAACAACACTAAAGCTATCCTGATCGTTCCCCGTTACCCAGCCGTCTAGGCTCTCGAAGTAAGTTGCTCTGGGTACACCTTTGCCTCGTTTGCCTTCAGTTTTGCAAATAAGAGCTAGATCTAGATGTTCAAAGCTTTTAGTCTATCTAATGTCCCTTGACCAAAATTGCCGTAAAATACCTAGATCTACTCAATCAATCAATTAAATCAAATTTCCCTGAAACTGCATTAGCATTTTGTCTTTTCCTGATAGTTGTTATCGGCGAGTAGCCCACGTGAGCTTCAGCAAGTACATGTACATGTACATGAACTACCTCATTTGGCGACTAAGTTTAGCCTTTTCCTCTGTTAATGTTTCAGATCCCTAACAATGGGAGCTCCGGCTACCCTTCGGCCAGCGTGCAGCCTCCCTTTGTAACAGACGGGGATCGTTACACCATCTCTGCATACTTCGTGAACCCCTGTGAGTAGATGATGGTGGTGGTGGTAATGTGTGTGTGTGCGCGCATGCGTGTGTGTATGTGTGTGTGTGTGTGTGTGTGTG